CAGACTGAAACAGGCTCCAGGCTCTGAGCTGGCAGTCAGCACAGAGCCCGACGCGGGGCTCGAACCCACGAACCGCGAGATCATGACCTAAGCGAAAGTCGGACGCTTAACCGACTAAGCCACCCAGGCGCCCCTAGACCTGCTAATCTTATATATTTCATTCACTTCCACTGTTATCTTCATTACAGCCTTTCTTCTACTGACCTGCTCTTTTTTGTTGTCGATGTTTTCTAGCATCCAGAAATGCAGAGCGGCTTCAAATTACATTTAAGTCATTTGATCCTTTCTCTAAGTTAAGCTTTTCTTCATTTCTGACACAGGCAAGCATTTAAGCTATAAACTTTCTTCTATGAGCCCCCACTTCAGTTATATTCCACAGCTGAATAATATCTTTACTATCCTTAACTTCTAAGAAGTTTCTACCTTATGATTTACTTGCCTAAATCATAGCTTACTTATTAGCATTTTTAAATCTATAAACATATGTGGCTCCTTTTTACTGTCTCTTATCTTTTTCGCTTTCTTTGATTATTGATTTGTAACTCAATTGTGTTGTAAGAGAATGTGATTTACAGGATGCTGGTTCTTTTGTTTGCTTAGATTTGGTTTTGGGAGCAGAGGACCATTAGTTTCCACACATGCCCCTTAGGGAACACAGTTGGCGATCAAGAACTCAAGGGAGCCAGAGTGCCTGGGTTGAATCCCTGGGTCTGCCACTAATTAGCTGTGTGGTCAAGACAAAGTATCTGGCCTTCCTGGGCCTCAGTTTCCTCATCTGTAAAATATTATAAAGACTAAACAAATTACACAACATAAAGTACTTAGGATAATGCCTGGAACAGAGGGAATAGTAGGTAAATAGTAGGTAAGTGCCAGCTATATGTCACCAGGTGTCTGTAGAAAGAGTATATATTCTGGAGTTCTTAGACACGATGTCCTATATGTGTCCATTAGATAATCAATTGTGTTGCTCAGATCTCCTGTAAATCCTTATTGATTTTGTCAACTTGTGAACTATCAATAACAGAAATGTGTTAAAAATCCTATTACAACACCAGATTTGATGTCTCCTCACAGTTCTGCCAATCTTTGTTTTATATATTTGGAAAGCATGTTATTAGATGCATACACATTTTCAACTGTATTATCTTCCTGGTGTACTGAATGATACAATATACATGATCTCCTTTATCTCAACCAATGTTTTTGCCTTCAAGTCTTTGGGGAGGCGGACGGAGGTGTGGCATGACCATAACTACATATATACTTTTGTTGGGTTATTCGTTTATTTTAAGCAGCTTTTTGTGAGGTAGAACTGACATACAATAATCTTACATATTGAAAGGTAAGTTCAGATATATGTCTACACCTGTGAAAGCACGGTCACAAGCAAGAGCGTGAACACATCCATCACCAGCAAGTTCCCTCGTGCCCTCTGTAACCTCTCCCTCTGTCCCTCCCAGGCTCTAGGCAATCACTGACCTACTTTTCTCCTACACACGAGTTTACGTTTCCTAGGCTTCTGCACAGATAGAACCATGCGGCATGTACTTCTGTCTGGCTACCTTCACTCAGTGTTACTGCTCTGAGATGTGGCGATGTCACCGCGTGGTCATTGCCTGTTAACTGCCCAGAAACACAGCTCCCTGTGAGTCTGTTCACCAGAGCTGTCTGCCTGTTGATAGACATGGAGTTGTTTCCGCTCTGATTCCAAACTGAGCTGCTGTGAACATTTGTGGACAAGTCTTTCTATAGCTAGATGCCTTCATTTTGCTTGGATAAACACCGAAGAGTAGACCAGCTGGATCACGCAGGGGCAGTATTTTAACTTTGAAGACACGGCCAAACTGCCTGCAAAGTGGCTGCACTATGGTACAGTCCCGGCAGCCGTAGCTGGAGTTCCATAGGTAGGCCACCCCACAGGCAATACATGAGATAGTATTTTTAATATTGGCCACTCTCCCAGCATGTGGTAGGATCTCACTATGGTGTTAATTTACATATTTACATTTCTCTAAGGCCTGATGATTTTGAACACCTTTAGTGTACTTATTTGATATCCTTGATGGAGTGTCCACGTGTTTTCCATGGATTGTTTGTTTCTTATTGTTGAGACTTGAGTAACTTCCTATATACTCAAAGACAAGTCTTTGATCAGCTATGTGCTTTACAAGCACATCTCTGTATCTATAACTTGTCTTCTATTTGCTTGATATGGACTCTTGAAGAGCATGGATTTTAAAGTTTGATGTCATTCAATCTATAACTTTGCTTTTTTATGAATAATGCTTTTGGTGTCATTTCTAAGACATCTTTGCCTAAACCAAGGGCATAATGGTTTTAAGCTTTACATTTAGGTCTGTGATACATTTTGAGTTAATTTTTGTATATGGTATAAAGTAGGAGCTGAAGTTCATTTGTAAGCACATGGATATCAACCTGTTCTAGTAATTTGTTGTAAAGACTATCCTCTCTCCACTGAGTTAATAATCAGGTAGTGCTAGTCCTCTATTTTTGCTGTTCTTTTTCGAGGTTGATTTTGTTTATTCCAAGTATTTTGCACTTCCATAAGAACTTGACAACCACCCTGTCAATTTCTCCAAAAAGCCTGCTAGGATTTTATTGGCATTGCATTGAATCAATTTGGAGTAACTGGTATCTTAACAATATTGAGTGTCCTGACTCATGAATATGGTATAGCTTATCGCTGACTTGGCTCTTGTTTAATTATTCTTAGCAATGCTTATAGTTTCAGGATACAGATCGGTTAACGTCTTTGACTTGATTTTCCCAAAGCAGCTTATATTTTTCAACACTATTAAAAACAGTGTTTTGAACAAAAACAAACTCAAAATGGGTTAAAAACCTAACCGTGAAACCTGAAACCATAAAATTCCCAGAAGAAAACATAAGGCAGTAATTTCTTTGACATCAGCCATAACAACATTTTTCTGGATATGT